GGGATAGGATGGGACGGGGACAGAGATGGGATGGGACAGGGATGGGACAGGGACAGAGATGGGATAGGATGGGATGGGACAGGGATGGGACAGGAACAGGGATGGGATGGGATGGGATGGGACAGAGATGAAACAGGGACAGGAACAGGGATGGGATGGGATGGGATGGGATGGGACAGGGGTGAGATGGGATGGGATGGGACAAGGATGGGATGGGACAGGGACAGGAATGGGATGGGATGGGATGGAGTGAGATGGAGTGGGTGGGACATGGGTGAGATGGGATGGGACAGGGGTGGGGTGGGATGGACAGGGGTGGGGTGGGATGGACATGGATGGGGTGGGATGGAGTGGGATGGGATGAGGTGGGTGGGACAGGAATGGGACAGGGTGGGATGGTATGGAATGGCCATAACAGCGTGGGGTGGCATGGACTGCCATGGTCTGGCACAGCACGGCCATAACAGCATGGGATGACATGGCATGGCCACAGCAGTACAGGGTGGCATGGTCCGACATGGCCGCAAGAGAATGGGGTGGCTTGGTCCACTGTGGCCACAGCAGTGTGCTTTGGCATGGTCTGGCATGGCCATGATAGCAGGGCAGGATCCAGCATGGTGTGGCTTGGTCCAGCATGGCGTGATTTGATCCAGCACAACACGGCTCGGTCCAGCCAGCCCATTGTGGCTTGGTCCAGCCTAGATGTCCACAGCACTATGGTATGGCATGGTGCAGCACGGCCATGACGGCATGGCTTGGTCCAGCACAGCCTGGTATGGGCCAGCAAAGGGCTGCACAGTTCTCCCTCCCTGCTCCCTGGTCCCCACACTCCATGGCCCCATGGCTGGAATGGAGCTGCATGAAGGGGGTAGTGACAGAGCACAGGGGCCTGTGGTGCCGGGGGGCTCAGCTGGGGCCCTCTGGAGGGTGCTGCGGGGGGGAGCGGAGGAGCCAAGGCAGGGACGTGGCATCGGTGGGACGCGCCTTTATTTCAGTGACCTGTGGCCCATGAGGTGCCAAATCCCCGCTCCCCACCCCACAAGCCCTCAGTCCAGAGGCCACTCAGCCGTCCCAGGCGGGGACCCCAGCGTGGCGCAGGGCCAGCGGCCCTGATTCGGACACGGGGGGCGAGTCACTGGTCTGTGCCTGGGTGAAGATGCGGTTGCGGGTGCCGAGGAAGGTCCCATGGCCGTGGCTCCGGGGGGTGTAGGGCCTGCGGTGGCGGCACCGGAGCAAGCAGAGGGGGTTCCTGAAGACCTCCTGGAAGGCTCTTCGGAAGTTCTCGTTGAAGTAGCCGTAGATGATGGGGTTGGCGCTGCTGTTGAAGAAGGCCAGCCAGTGGGCGAAGGGGTACACGTAGACGATGACCAGGTGGAGCTGGCCCTCGCTCAGCCACCCGTAGTCCGTCAGCAGCAACAGCGTCCAGAGGGGCAGCCAGGAGATGGTGAAGAAGAGGGCGACGATGATGAGCATGTTGATGACTTTGGCCTTCCTGCGGGAGATCCTCCTTCCCTCCGGCTCCTCCTGGCCATGGGCAGGCGCCACCGACTTGAAGAGCTTGAAGGCGATGCGGGTGTACATGACGACAATGAGGGTGAGCGGGGCCACGTAGATGTGGGAGAAGAGGACGGTTGTGTAGATCCTCCTCATCCCCGTCTCGGGCCAGGCCTCCCAACAGGAGTAGAGAGGGTAGGAGTTGTTGTAGGTGTCCACCATGAAGTGGTGCTCCTCCCTGGTGACAGTCAGGGTGATGGCAGCGGGGCACATGATGAGCAGGGCCAGCACCCAGATGATGGCGATGGTCAGCAGGGCTTTCCTCAGCGTCAGCTTCTGCCGGAACGGGTGGACGATGCAGCGAAACCTGTGGAGGGCAGATGGCAGTGGCTTTGGGCACCTACTGAGACATCCCTGGGGAAGGAGGATGGCTGGGACCTGGGAGTGTGCAGGGAGGGTGAGGTGGGTTGCTCTTTACATAACGCTTTTGGTGGCAGGGGTAGGTTGGGGTGTCTCCAGCTTTGATGTTTTCACGGTGGGGAAGGACAGCTTGCTGGAATGCCCCATGGACAGCTTAGTGGTCCTTATGGAGAGCTGGGACACGCTCCTGACATCTCCAGGAGCTTTCCCGTGATGGAAACCACACAGGACACCTGGACCTGCTGGAGGCAGTTGGCCCCACATTCCCACATTCCCAAGCCAACGTACCTCTCCACGGCGATGGCCACCAGTGTGAAAATGGAGGCGGAGACGGACATGCCTTGCACCAGGCCACTCATTTTGCACATGGTGTTGTCAAAGGGCCAACCTGTGAGGGGACACCGTGAAGGCTGTAGGTGCCTTGGGCTTGGCCAGCTCCCTTTAGATGTCCCCATCCACTGTGTTGTTGCTGGGGGATGCTAAATCCTGCTCCTAAGGGGGAGCTCATACGGACATGGCCTTTTGCAGCACGGATGCTTGGAGAAAAAACCCAAAATTGATAAAAAAAATGACACTCTTAGGAACTCAAGGAAGATGGTGGCTGCAATTTCTCCTGCCCTTGTCTAGGGCTTGAGCTGTTATCATGGGGACCTACCTTGGGATCCTCAATCAGAAGGACTTTCATCTTGTTTCTTGACCCCAATGCCAAGGCAATAAACACAATAAATCAATAAACACAAACTCTGCCCTGTGGCCTAGCTGCCACTGTGGCTGAACTCTGACAAATGTCACCCCTTATCTTTGAAAAGGGCAACGGGCACGGCTGAACCAAAACAGAAGAAGATGGATGCAGGAAAAAGAGGGTTTTTTTTCAGGGTTGCTTGATGAAGAAGGGCTGAACTTTAAATAAATATGCAAATGCAGCATTAAGATTGTCTTGCCAAAAATAGTCAAAACCTCAAAGAAAAAAAAAAAAAGGATTTTTCCCCCCTAAAAAGAAAAAGGATATTTCCCCCCTAAAATAGGACCTCTAAGTGAAATCACACTTTTCCTCAGGTGTGGTTGAGTGGCCACCATGTGCCCTTCTCATCCTCACCAAAAACACCACCCAGGGCTTGGCCTCATGCGTGGGGGGCAGAAGGTGAGTGGGGGATGTTCCTTCCCACCACCACTTTCTCTCCCCTGTCTTGTGTCTCGCCCCTCCACTGCCCCGCTCACCTGTGATAAGGTTGTCCACCAAGGTGGTGGGCATGCAGAAGATGCCCACCAGCAGGTCACTGATGGCCAGGTTGAGGAGGAACATGTTGGTGACCGTCCGCATCTGGCGGTTCTTCACCACGACGAAGCACACTAGGATGTTGCCGACCATGCACATGAGGAAGATGAAGGTGTAGGCCAGGATGAACATGAGGGCCACAGGGGAGGAATGCTGGTAGTAGGCCAGGAAGGTGTAGTTATCCCTCAGGAGGTGACTGTAGCTTATGGTACCGTTTGGCCACCAGGTGCCACTGGAAGGGCCTGGGGAAGGGAAGGCAGGAAAATGAAGCTGGGAGAGGGTAAAGCAATTATTCCCTTCATTTCTTAATGCCCTCAGAAGTGGGCTTTCATGTTTATTCCAATGCCCAGCCTGGCTGGGACACGTCCTGTTGGGATCATCGCAGTGGCCCAGCAAGTCTCCCCGTCCTTGGGTTACGCAGCTCAGGGTACTGCAGCACGTCAGGTGAATCATTATTTTATATCATTAGTTTTTAAGTCATTCTTATTTATATAACTCTTTTGATGAGGAATTAGAGCAGTCCAGAACGCATCCTGATCACATGGGGTTTTTTGGGGATAAAGCAAGGAAATAAATCCACATCTTGACATTTCAGTGCTCTGGCCTTATGGGAAGCTGTATCCATGTGGCCCCCATCACGGCTGGCCGGGGAGCATCCCTGCTCCCGGGTGGCTGCTGCTGCTTCTCCTTGTGCTTCCAAGGTTTACAGTTTGAGATTCCCTAAAATCTTATTCTCCCTGGCAAACCTGCAGTACCTGAGGGAAGGAGACTGGGGCAGAGGAGACCTTGCCCTCCATTTAAGGTATAAAGCAATAATTATGACTCTGATCATTATCTGGGAGCTTCTGATGGAGTGGGGGATGGAATTTTGTCACTACGGATTTAACAGCGAGTGGGTCTGGGCAGCTCCCACCCTCGGGTTTCCCCAGCCTTACGCAGGCAGGGACGCGGGAGGATGCCGGGAGCAGCAGCTGCCTGCAGTGGTGATGGGACTGACTCCGGGAAAACCCAGCCTGCAATTTTAAGGCAAGAAAAGGCATATTTTATCTCTAAGGTTCAGCCTAACTGCCTGCAGGTCAGCCCCGCTCTGAGAAAGCCCCCAAAGCCGCTGCGTGATGGGCAGCTGGAGCATCCCCCCATCCCTGTGCCGGTGCCGGTGCTCAGCTCGCCAGCCAAGGCGCTTTTCGAGCCACCGTGACTGCCTTGGCTTCTCCAAGGCTCCTGCACGCAGGAAGGGCCCATCCAGCCCCTATGACCGTGTCCGGGGTGTAGGATTTGGGCAAGACGTTTCCAGCGGGGCTTTAGAAAGGTGTTGGCGGGTTTACAGCCCAGGGACACAGAGGAAGGAGCGTCTTGGAGAGGCAAGAAAGCAGCGGGACTGGGGGACAAGATTCTCCAGCCAGTCGGCATCAGACGCACTCACATGACCCAGCTTCGTTAGCAGGAGTGCTCCTTCGTTAGCAGGAGCAAAGACTGTAACGAGATTGCCCAAAATGTACAATATTAACCCCAAAACTTTGCTGGACTTAACCTTTTTTGGGCTGCAGTGCAGCATTAGCGGGAGGTGGGTGTCCTATGGAATTAGAGGTGGTTTTAAGAGCGAGGTGGAAGACTGGGAAAGGAAAATAAGGGGTGGCTGAGCACCCAGGGTTGGTGCTGGATGAATGGGTGGACGGATGAATGGGTGGAGGGATGAGGATGGAGGGATGCAGGCATGGAAGGGGGTACCGGGCGGGGGGCGAGGGACCGCTTGCCTCCCTGCCTGGCTGTGGGAAACCACCGCAGGAAAAGACTGGGCTGATGGAACAGGGGGCTGGGGACGGGGGGGCCGGCTTTTGCGGGGGGATAAAATGAAACAAACCAGGTCTCGGTACTCACCTCCGCCGGCCCGACTCGGCTCCGGGGGCTGCATCGCTGGCTCGCGGGGGCTGCCGCCGGGGGTGGGGGGCAGTTTTGCCCCCGTTCCTCCCCCGGTTCCCCGCGCCCGGTCCCGAGCCCCGGTGCCGCTACCGCGGAGCCGCTGCCGCGGTGCCGCCGCGCCGCTTGCGGCTGCTCGGGCTGCAGCGGAGAAGGGGAGGGGGCGGCGGGGGGACAGCCTCCCATCGCCATGGATACCACCGGGGGACCCACACGCAGCTCCCCCACGGATGAGCCAGCGCGGGGGGACCAGGGAGACCAGGAGAGAGAGGGAGCAGGTTTGCTCCCCTGGGAAGGGTCGGGGTCTACGTCCCCCTTGCTGCCTCCGAGATCCCCACACTGATGCTGGCAGCCGATGGCCGGTCCCCAGCAACACTGGGGTAGAAAACATGCCAGGAGCCACAACGTGGGTGGGGAGGACCCCCCTCCATCACCCCATGCAGTAGGGAAAAGCAACACGATCTTTAGGGATGATGGTCCTGACTCCAAGCTGCTCCATTATTCCCAACATCAACAACCCGCTTCTTACCATGGCCTTTACCAAAGTTTGGCAAGTCTAGAAGGATTTACAGGATTAACCCGTCCTGGCTGGACAAACGCCACTGGGAAGTGTTTGTCTCTTAAAAAAAAACCAAAGGAGCAAAACAGGGAGATGTTTAAACAAACCATTTTGAGATAACACCTGTGGTTTCTCCCAGGAGTTTGTGTTTTTCCTTTTCACAGGCAGCTGCTACTGGGACACGAGTGTGCTTGGCAGTGGCCTCCCTGCCACCGAGGAGCTGCTCTCTCCAGGACATTTCTTCCTGGGAGAGAAAACAGCACTTCTTGAGGACCCACAGCCCCGAGGGAGATGGGTGCACACATCTGGGGACACCCACAGGGTGAGCAGCGTGTGGGAACCTGCCGCTACTGGTTTGCTCCAATTTCCATGGTGGAAAAAAAAACAGAAGGAAAACAAAAGAATCCTTGGAAAACCAAGGATTTTGCCAAGGAAATACTACTGAGGTCTGTGCAGAATCCATCAGGGGAATACTGATAATTCAAATTTAAGCAGACACAAACCCCCTTGGTGTAACAAGAAAGCGTTTAATCAGACACTTGGCACACCGAGATGTCAGCAATTCCAGGGCGAACCCTTACGGCCCCAGGAATGTCCCCCACCATCCTGGCTGCTCCCCGTCGCCACCCAGGCAGGAAGGATGGAGCCGAACATCCAGCTTCCCCCGGCTTTACCCAAACCTCACACCGCATGCACTGCAGCTCCTCTGCATCCCCCAAACACACAAGCGGGAGATTCCCTGGCGCGGGAGCCGGCAGAGCCATCCGCTCACGGAGGAGCCCCACTGCTCGCTTTTCATTAAAGTAAAATGAGGGACTGGCTGCCTCGCCGCAGGTTTGGGACAGGAATAGGGGCGCAGCAGGGACTGACCTAAGCCAAACCACTCTCGTGGGCAGTCGCCCCTCGGGACAGCTCGCCTGGGCACCCTGAGACCCTGTCAGGCTTCAGGGATGGGCTCCTCTGGTGACAGCAGCAGGTCGAAGGGGACGAGGGGCCGGACGAGCAGCCGCACCTCGGGGCCGACGGGGTTGTCCCGCAGGTTGAGGCTCCGCAGCGATGCCATGGACGCCAACTTCTCCGTCGGCACCTCTGCAAAGACAGCACGGAGCTGAGAACCCGTCCCGGCGTCTCCTACCGGGGAATTCGGAGAGGCGGAGCGGGGGAAGCTCCTCTTGATGGACAGCCTGGAGTTTAACCTGCTCCTGCCGCTCTGCAGGCTTTGATCGCAACAGAAACATAATAAAATCCTAGATTATACGTCTACTCAAGCAGATGGTTATGGGTTGGGCTGGATGATCTTAGAGGCCTTTTCCAGTCATTCTGTCATTCTGTGAAATGTCTTTGCGAGAACACCGTGATATTCAATGTGGACACTGCCCTCCAGTTCTCCCAGTCCTAATAAACCCCCTGCTGGGGCACTAAACTGGTATTCAAAGATTTATTCCCTGATTTTATTCCCAGTGTTGCAATGCCCAGGAGCCTTCACCAGGCTAACAGGAGAGCATATGCTCTTTGCCCTCTTTGGACAGGCTGCAAAATGGCTCTTGGCCATCAACAGGAACCCTCCTATTTTGCAATTTCCATGAATTTGGGTGTTTTCCTTTAGAAAACATTACATTTATGAACTTAACATTCAGAAAAGGTGCAGTTCTCCTGGATGGTCCCAACGTGAATCCACTGATGGCAGAGGAATGAAGCTGATACAAAAAACTAACCATTTAGGTCATTCAAAGGTGATAGATTTTTTTGCTCCAAATCACTATATTTTGGGCCTGCCTGATTTACCAAAACAAATTTCTTCTTAATTTGGTCACTAAAGGACCAACAGCCTTTTTTATCTCAGTTCCCATTTCTTCTGCCAACACTTAGAGCAGAACTGTGGTGTTGTAATTACAGCTGGATGATTATGTGATTTTTAGACCATGAAACTTACTTTACGCTGGAAAAAAACTCAAACACTTCGATGCCTTTGTTTTTTCCCTCATTCTCCTCCAGAAAACAGTGCTATTTTCCATACACATATTCCTTAGCAGCTCATCTCTCATCAGGCAGAGCTTCACATGATTTTTTTTTAATAACTCTTCTCCATGGTGGATTTTTTCACTGCAATTCTCCTGTATCATTTTGCTTTTTTTTCCCCTTGAGGCACAAAAATAACATTATGTTTTCACAGATCTTCCTGTTTAATCATCTTCTAGGTCTGTGCAGTGTGATAAAGTTAAAAGTGCTTACCCCCACTTCGCTTGAATTTAGGGAGTTAAGGGAATTATTTTAGGGACCAAGCCTTGCTCTGAGTGGAAACAAGCCCAACTCTGCACCTTAATTCCAGGTAAGGAGTGGTGACTCACCCTGGCATGAAGGGACAGGTAGGGCACATAGTGCAGCCTGTAGCTGTAAGGTTGTGCCATGGGAGCCCCAAATTCCTCTGTAAACAACCCAAAACATCTGTTGCTGGCTTCCCAGCAGATAAGGCACTTGTGTTTGAGTCTGAATTATTTGTGCTGGCTTCACCAGTCAAACAAAAAAAGGGGCAAAAAAGGCTTTTCCTAATTAAAGCAAAATATGATGAGTGACAAACGCAGTTCCTTTAGATGAAAGGGATGCTGAGGGATTGGGAGGCATCTGAGGAGGTGTATATGAAAGGGCTGTGAGGCGTCTGAGGAGCTGGTGATGAACACTAACAGCCAGGTACGGCTGCAAATTGAAGGGGAAAGGACCCTGCTCAGCTCAGAGCTGCTTCCCTGTCACCTTTTAGCATTACCCACATCCTTTGGTGGCACCAGCTCCTCTGAGGCTCCTCCAAACCTGCTGGTGCCAAGCTCACTGGCATCTCTGTGGTTATTAACAAAAATGTCTTTTCTGTGCCATTATCTCACATCAAGAGTGGTGATAGAACCATACAACCATGGAATGGTTTGGGTTGAAAAGGACCTTAAAGATCATCTCGTTCCAGCCCCTGCCATGGGCAGGGACACCTCCCACTAGCCCAGGTTGCTCCAAGCCCCGTCCAACCTGGCCTTGGACACTTCCAGGGATGGGGCAGCCACAGCTTCTCTGGGCAACCTGTGCCAGGGCCTCCCCATCCTCACAAGGAACAATTTCTTCCTAATATCCAAACCAAACATACTCTCAGTTTAAAACCATTCCCCCTTGTCCCATAACTACATGTCCTCAGGAGGACAAAATTAACCACAGTTGCCCCCGGCAGTGACCTGCCCAGCCTTGGCAGCAGTCTCAACATCGTCTCTACTGAACTATTAATCAAGGAATAAGGGAAAGAGAAGCTGAAGCTCCAGGCATCCAAGCATCCCCATGGATTTGGGAGCTTAAAACCCTGATTTGATATAAGTCTAATTATCAGGGAAAGAGTTAAAAGCACTGACAGTAATATATACATAATTACAGTCTGAGTTTAAGAGCTTATTGAGATGAAAAGGGCAGGTTGTGGCATTAAATGTCTCCTTTCACAGAGCCCACAGGCTCCAGGCAGGCATTAATTAATCTTCTTTTACTCTTGTTTCCCTTTAGCTGGAAAACATTACCTACAACCTCCAGTTCAATATGTCTCAGTAGGTCACTCAGCCCTTTTTCAGAAGGTGTTTTTGAGTCGGGTTTGCAGCTCTGGATTGAGTTCCTCCGGCATCTCTGGGAGGGCAGGGGAGGACAGGCAGGACTAGCCCTGGCACAGCACCACAAACCAGGTGATCTGCAGCCTTCCACTGACGGAGAAAGTCACGGTCCTACCCCACCGTCCTCCTAAAGAGAGCTGGAGAGGGGCTTTGGACAAGGGCATGGAGTGACAGGATGGGGGGAGTGGCTTCACGCTGCCAGAGGGGGTGTTTAGAGGACATATTAGGCAGAAATTCTTCTTTGTGAGGATGGTGAGGTTACCCCGAGAAGCTGATGGATATTTCTGTGTAGTGAAATCCAATTTAGCTGTTAAGGAAAACCCAAATTTGTGCCAGTTAAATTTAAGGTGATGGACTCTCCCTAACTCTCCTTCTGCTATTGTGCCAGGCTGGCATGGGAGGAGAAGGTGTATATATACATATATGTATATTTATATATATATATAAAAATATAAATACAAGCTCGAAGATAAAGTATAAAACCATATTAATATGTAAAAATACATATATATATATATATATATATAACACAAACTCATGTGCAGGTGGGCCTGGAAGGTATTTGGTAAGGACTGGCAGGAGCAGTGTGATTGCCCAGACTTTTGTTTCCTTGGAAAAATGGGCTGAAGCCCCCTGGCTTTGTAGCCTCTACCTTTTCCTTTTCCAGAAAATGTGTAAAATAAGACATTCTCACCTTTTTCTGAAGCCAGACAGCATTGTGTGCACTACTAAGATACGTCCCTAAAACATTTTACCTTGAAATTGTTAAACTTTACTCTTTTTTTATTTTCCCCAAGTCTGACAACCAGCAGCCAAGGGGAGCCTGGTTTCTCTGGCTCCCATGGAAGCAATATTTAACGTGTAGTGTTTCTGCAGG